GTTAAGATAACCGGTTTGTTGTTCCAGCTAATATGGGGTAATCGTTTAAATATTGTTAAACGTAACATTTCCTATCTCCATAGGAAAGATGGAGGATTAGGCATGTTGTGTCCAGAACTTTTTTACAATCTCTTGTTTATAACCAAGAATTTAAGTTTTTTTAAATCTGGTAGAACAGATTTATGGGGAGTCTTATATAAAAACCAAATTAATCACTTTGTTGGAGTTTGGACAAGAGGTGTAAAGATCAAAAGATTGTCTGGTAAGGTTAAACATTGCTCTCTATATGCTCAGCAATGTATAAAGTTGTTGCTGAGATGGCAAATTTCATGTGAAGATATCACTGGGCTACATAGAAAACAATTATATCATGTTCTGTTAAATAAGTACTATAGTGCCCAGCTGGTTTTAAAAGACTGCCCTAATACCTTAATGAAAAAAGCCATTCAGAATGTTACTAGCACGAGAATACCAGTTAAATTGAGAGATGTTATTTGGCTTAGTTTTCAAGGAAAATTATACGTTCGCTCTAATTTGAAATTTAAAAAACTTGAGGAACGAAATTGTCCGAGGGAAGAATGTTCAGGGATGTTAGAAACAATGTCTCATTTTTTGTGTGACTGTCCCTTTAGTTTAGCAATATGGACAGAAATGTCCACACTTCTTAAAATACCAAATTTTAAAGGACAGTCCTATGCTGAATTAGTATATGGAAATTTCAATTGGGCAGATAAGATTAACAAATGCACTTTATATGTAATTTAATTGTATTGTAATATATCATTTATGGCAAGCGAGGTGTTTAAAATCATCAAAACAAATTATTTTAACTACGGACTCTGTGATTAATCGGATAATTAAAGACATAAAAGATGTATATGTAAAAGAACAAACTACAGATTGTTGGGAAAATATAGACATGACATTTTGTTTTTAATTGTATTTTTGTATATGTTTTTGATACATTGAACACTGTTTTGTTATTTGTTGTAAGAATATTTAATAAAAAAATTTCCTCCTATTACTCCGTATAACCCTCCTTATTATCTCCTATTATTTCTTATAATCCATCCTATTGCTTCATGTACCCTCCCTATAACCCCTCCTATTACTCCATATTACCCTCCCTATAACCCCTCCTATTACTCCATATAACCCCTCCTATTACTCCATATTACCCTCCCTATTACTCATCTTATAGTTCCATATAACCACTCCATATTAATCCTCTATTTACTCCGTATAACCCTCTTTATTACGCCATGTTACCTCCATATAACCCCAAATATCTCCTCCTATTACTCCATATAATCTTCCTTACAACACCTATTACTTCATGTAACCTCCCTATAACTCCTTATGTATCACTCCCTATAACTCATCTTATTACTCCGTATTACCCCCCTTATTACCCTTCGTATAACTCCAAATATCTACTTCTATTATTCCTTATAACCCTCCCTATAACCCATCCTATTGCTTCATGTAACCCTCCCTATAACTCCTCCTATTACTCCGTATAACCCTCCCTATAACTCCTCCTATTACTCCATGTAACTCCTCCTATAACTCCCCCTATTACTCCATATAACTCTCCCTATAACTCCCTCTTATTACTCCATATAACCCTCCCTATAACTCCCCCTATTACTCCATATAACCCTCCCTATAACTCCTCCTATTACTCCATATAACCTCCCTACAACTCCTCCTATTTCTCCATATAACCCTCCCTATAACTCCCTCTTATTACTCCTTATAACCTCCCTATAACTCCTCCTATTACTCCATATAACCCTCCCTATAACTCCTCCTATTACTCCATATAACCTCCCTATAACTCCCTCTTATTACTCCATATAACCCTCCCTATAACCCCTCCTATTACTCCATATAACCTCCCTATAACCCCTCCTATTACTCCATATAACCCTCCCTATAACTCCTCCTATTACTCCATATAACTCCTCCTATTACTCCATATAACCCTCCCTATAACCTCTCCTATTACTCCATATTACCCTCCCTATAACCCCTCCTATTACTCCATATAACCCTCCCTATAACTCCTCCTATTACTCCATATAACCCTCCCTATAACTCCTCCTATTACTCGATATTACCCTCCCTATAACTCCTCCTATTACTCCGTATAACCCTCCTTATTACCCTCCGTATAACTCCAAATATCTCCTATTATTTCTTATAACCCATCCTATTGCTTCATGTACCCTCCTTATAACTCCTCCTATTACTCCATATAACCCTCCATATAACTCCTCCTATTACTCCATATAACCCTCCCTATAACTCCTCCTATTACTCCATATAACCCTCCCTATAACCCCTCCTGTTACTCCGTATAACACTCCCTATAACTCCTCCTATTACTCCATATAACCCTCCCTATAACCCCTCCTGTTACTCCGTATAACACTCCCTATAACTCCGTATAACCCTCCCTATAACCCCTCCTATTACTCCATATAACCCTCCCTATAACTCCTACTATTACTCCATATAACCCTCCCTATAACTCCTCCTATTACTCCATATAATCTTCCCTATAACTCCTCCTATTACTCCATATAACCTTCCCTATAACTCCTCCTATTACTCCATATAACCCTCCCTATAACTCCTCCTATTATTCCATTTAACCTCCCTATAATGCATCCTAATACTCTGTATAACCTTTCCTTTTATTGTTTGTATATCCTCTTATTGCAGTAAAATATAAACCACACATATCCATGAAACTAATGTGTTTATTGGTGTTGCAATTAAATTATCATTTTAAATAAGATACAGATTCATAGATCCCCAATTCTCTCTTTGCTTCTTCTTGGAGGAGAACATCAAAGGAATCTATGGGAGGAAACTGGATTTATCAGAGGAGGCACAGGGGTGTGGAGACAAATGAAAAGGGTAAGAGATCTGGCAGACTGGATAAAGTGGCATAGAGCAACCCAGGGCAGTTCATTTATAATTTTAATCCATTAGTAATGTACAGTAAAGATCTTCATGCAATTTGTACCCCAGCATGGCATGGCCAATGCTGCATTCAGAGTCATAGAATGGAGCTTCAGACTCTCCAAAACTGATCTGTGGACAACCATATTGAGCGGGTTTAGGAGATTCAGAAAATGCAACAGTACAAGAAGATAAGTCAGTTTGTGTCCTTTATTTTAGAGCAGAGAGCTGGTAATCTGAATAAAGAGGTTCGAGGTCAGGGGGATTATATTCCTAGTAACATACTGTATTCTGGGGCAGGGGGATTATATTCCTAGTAACATCCTGTATTCTGGGGCAGGGGGATAATATATTCCTAGTAACATCCTGTATTCTGGAGCAGTGGGATTATATTCCAAGCAACATCCTGTATTCTGGAGCAGGGGGATAATATTCCTAGTAACATACTGTATTCTGGAGCAGTGGGGATTATATTCCTACTAACATACTGTATTCTGGAGCAGGGGGATAATATTCCTAGTAACATCCTGTATTCTGGAGCAGGGAGGATTATATTCCTAGTAACATCCTGTATTCTGGAGCAGTGGGATTATATTCCTAGTAACATACTGTATTCTGGAGCAGTGGGATTATATTCCTACTAACATCCTGTATTCTGGAGCAGGGGGATTATATTCCTAGTAACATCCTGTATTCTGGAGCAGGGGGATTATATTCCTAGTAACATCCTGTATTCTGGAGCAGTGGGATTATATTCCTAGTAACATCCTGTATTCTGGAGCAGTGGGATTATATTCCTAGTAACATACTGTATTTTGGAGCAGGGGGATTATATTCCTAGTAACATCCTGTATTCTGGAGCAGGGGGATTATATTCCTAGTAACATACTGTATTCTGGAGCAGGGGTATTATATTCCTACTAACATACTGTATTCTGGAGCAGTGGGATTATATTCCTAGTAACATACTGTATTCTGGGGCAGGGGGATTATATTCCTAGTAACATCCTGTATTCTGGAGCAGGGGGATAATATTCCTAGTAACATCCTGTATTCTGGAGCAGGGGAGTTATATTCCTAGTAACATCCTGTATTCTGGAGCAGGGGGATTATATTCCTAGTAACATCCTGTATTCTGGAGCAGTGGGATTATATTCCTACTAACATCCTGTATTCTGGAGCAGTGGGATTATATTCCTACTAACATCCTGTATTCTGGAGCAGGGGGATTATATTCCTAGTAACATCCTGTATTCTGGAGCAGGGGGATTATATTCCTAGTAACATCCTGTATTCTGGAGCAGTGGGATTATATTCCTAGTAACATCCTGTATTCTGGAGCAGTGGGATTATATTCCTAGTAACATACTGTATTTTGGAGCAGGGGGATTATATTCCTAGTAACATCCTGTATTCTGGAGCAGGGGGATTATATTCCTAGTAACATACTGTACTCAGGAGCAGGGGGATTATATTCCTAGTAACATCCTGTATTCTGGAGCAGGGGGATTATATTCCTAGTAACATCCTGTATTCTGGAGCAGTGGGATTATATTCCTACTAACATCCTGTATTCTGGAGCAGGGGGATTATATTCCTACTAACATCCAGCATTCTGGAGCAGGGGGGATTATATTCCTAGTAACATACTGTATTCTGGAGCAGTGGGATTATATTCCTAGTAACATACTGTATTCTGGGGCAGGGGGATTATATTCCTAGTAACATCCTGTATTCTGGAGCACGGGAGTTATATTCCTAGTAACATCATGTATTCTGGAGCAGGGGGATTATATTCCTAGTAACATCCTGTATTCTGGAGTAGTGGGATTATATTCCTACTAACATCCTGTATTCTGGAGCAGGGGGATTATATTCCTACTAACATCCAGCATTCTGGAGCAGGGAGGATTATATTCCTAGTAATATACTGTATTCTGGAGCAGTGGGATTATATTCCTAGTAACATACTGTATTCTGGAGCAGTGGGATTATATTCCTAGTAACATCCTGTATTCTGGAGCAGGGGGATTATATTCCTAGTAACATCCTGTATTCTGGAGCACGGGAGTTATATTCCTAGTAACATCCTGTATTCTGGAGCAGGGGGATTATATTCCTAGTAACATCCTGTATTCTGGAGCAGTGGGATTATATTCCTACTAACATCCTGTATTCTGGGGCAGGGGGATTATATTCCTAGTAACATACTGTATTCTGGAGCAGGGGGATTATATTCCTACTAACATCCTGTATTCTGGAGCAGGGGGATTATATTCCTAGTAACATAGTGTATTCTGGAGCAGGGGTATTATATTCCTACTAACATACTGTATTCTGGAGCAGTGGGGATTATATTCCTACTAACATCCAGCATTCTGGAGCAGGGAGGATTATATTCCTAGTAATATACTGTATTCTGGAGCAGTGGGATTATATTCCTAGTAACATACTGTATTCTGGAGCAGTGGGATTATATTCCTAGTAACATCCTGTATTCTGGAGCAGTGGGATTATATTCCTACTAACATCCTGTATTCTGGAGCAGGGGGATTATATTCCTACTAACATCCAGCATTCTGGAGCAGGGGGGATTATATTCCT